CAGAAGGATTTTCACCTACATTTCCATCAAAATGCATTCGTGACGGAAAATTATTACTTTTCAATTTCGTTTTTACATAATTGAAAAAAATCTTAGGATATGATTTGACTTCATTTTCGACTTTACGATTATATTCTTCATGTGCAGTGTTAATGGCTGTGTTAAGTTGGTTGCATATGTTATGATAGTGTTGTAAATTTGTGCTCGTGCATTCCTTTTTGTATAATTTGTGTGCTTTCTACTTTTTGTTCTTCAAATGTTTTAGTTGTTGATTGAACCACACTGGCAGTTTGTTGTTTTGTGTTCGCCTTCTTGTTTTTATTGGTACGGTTTCTGAAATTATGTTACGAATAATTTAATGAAATCTACCAACTTCAGTGTCGACATTTCCTTCAATACTTATTATATTTTGCCAATTTATTGTACATAGTCTACGTTTGGATTCCATAACGGTGATAATGATGCATACACACAGAAGTCTTCAGCACAGTTTGTAAATAAAAGGTCTAAATATGCATTTAGCTGATTTTTCACGTGGTGAATTTGATGTAGACCTAAATATGAGATTTTGTCAAAAATAAATTGTAATGTTTCGCCTTCACCTACGATTGGAAGTAAAAATGATTCGTTTTCAATGTCTGTGATAAAGTCTGCGTTGCGTTGGTTGAAGTTGCCATAAATATGCAGTTTTACTTCTGGTTCCATATTTGACATGACAGTTTCGACAATTTGGAAAAATAATTCAAAAAAGTGTTTGTTCACATTTTCAGGTTGGAAATACACAGAAGTAAAAATGTGTTTTCCACCAGCAATAAGTGCTTTGGTCCATACATGCTCAAATTTTGTGTTCTTATTTATTTGTATTTCTTCGGAAGTAAAGTCTGCATTGATGGCAATGAGAACACCACCCCCAGACTTTTTCTTACAAAGATGTAGGTTTCGGTCGTGCCGGAATACATTAAAATTGTATCCAAAAAAATGTTCACTTCTTACGCTTTCGTCCCAGCTAGTTTAAGTTCCAAGAAGTACATTGAAAGAAGAAGATAAAAATTTTTGTTGAATTTCTTTCATTTTGGCTGAGATACGATTACGAGATATTTGCAATTTTTGGAAGATAAAAGTTTGATGCGCGGAGAGGCTGTAAATAAGCGCTGTTGGTCATATTACCACACCTTACCCTAACTATAAAAAGTTGTCTTCCAAAACCTGAAAATAAACAACGATCTAAAATTGACTGTTCGGTTGAGTTACATTTTTAAACGAACCACCCTACGTTACTTCAGCGACAGACTACCGACCGGTCAGCCAAACACACTCACATCTATGAACGGGATGTCACACAGTTCGCCACCCAAAAGAGCCCCAGCACTCATTCTGTTTTGAAGCACATTCGTAGACGACCTCCCAACCTCGCCATAACCCCCTCGTATCGATCGTACGGATTGGGAGGCACGCAGGCAAGGCACACAAACAGAGGCCCTCGAGAATAGGGGAAATGGGGAGACAAAATGCCCATGGCGGGTATAGTGCGTCCCTTTATATCTCAGCTGGTAGTTGATATGAAGGCGATTAAGAGATGCCGTATGATGTGAATGTTCTTTTCTTTTAGAACATTGTTTACTGAAAATCACTGGGCAGAAAACCGCGCAAGAAAAGACATTTCTTGAAACAGCTGGTATTTCTGAACGCTACCAAAATTAACGATTTGATTGAAGTCAGTTGTGAGGTATATCCTTCATATTTCGGATCGATTGCTCGACTGGTAGGGGAATATACGTATTCTCGGCAACCTAAGCAGCGACCTTCTTTCTATAGCCTTTTTCTCTATGGAACGCACACATATGCAGTATTGGTTTGTTTACAATCTTTTGCTGCCAGCTGCTCTAACAATTTCAGTCGAAAGAATTGTCAAAAACTGTTTTGAAACGCTTTTACAAAGCTCCAATCTTCTCTAGTGAGAGCGAGTATTGTCGGCAACCAGTTTTTCTTCGGCAACCGTTCCATTTGAACTGCATGTAAATCTGCTGTTCTATTATCGGCAACTCGAAATCAGCTACAATTTGTAGTGCGTGTGTTTCATTTCAAGAAAACCCTGCTAGATTGCTTTTACTCAGTGGTAAAAATATAGTCAAATTGAAGCTGAAAGCATAAAGAATCGTTTGCATGCATTCAGCGAAGTGTTTTCGTAAGAAAATCCAGTGAAAATAGTGTTTCAATTTGGGTTGCCGAAAATAGTCTGTCATGACGAAGCCGTCATTTCCCCTATATTTATTAGAAAAATAGTTATTATTCTCACCCAAAAGGCCTGGGTTCAATCCCCATCGGCGCCATCGGGATTTTATGAGGCATAAAATCTCTGATCACGCAGGGAAATAAAGCCGTTGGTCCCTGGCTAATGAGTTGATGGGTTGATAGGTAGGTCCAGGTGTGGGAGCTACCTCCCAGGAGTCGACAGCATTGGTACTCAGTACGGAAAACAAGATCGTCGGAAAACAAATCAAGAAAAATAAAACATAAATTACTACAGTAATGACCCGATTTTCTGAGCCTCTCTACGCATCAGACTTTTATCTTTCAATAATTTCACGTGAAAACGTTGCTAGAACTATTCCACAGGCGCAGTCAGTTTATGAGCAAAAGAAGGACGCACATTTTTTGCCTGTAGACTTGAAGACATACTTCAAGTCTCCGCGTACATTGTACGGGTTAGGCTAAAGATGTGCGTCTAACTTTTAAAACTGTCGCATTAATGGCCCTTCGCTCATTTTCAACTTCTATTCAATGTTCATACTGCCGTACTCTAACGGAACTATCGACCTACCCTCTTCTAAAGATCATTCTCTAGCTAATAAATTATCACACTAAAGCTTCATGTTAGCATTTCCAACCAACTCCGTAATTCTAAACCTTTCTTATTCATCTTGATCATGGATATTTAAAGTATACTTTGGTGCAAAAAGACTACTGAAAAAGTGCTTGAGTTTCGTAGATTATTGGAAAATAAGAAATGACAAATACGGGTCATTACTGTTGCTCTAATGCGCTTGGATAATTGAAGTGTGGACTGCGTGAATCTTTGAAATTCAAAAAAGGAAAAACATAGACAAAGCTTAAATATAATCAGTATGTTTTGGAAATATTTAGAAGATACTGAGTATGAGAAAATTTTCGAAAAAAATTAAATTTTATCGCAATATTTCTTATACACACGTGTCCTTCCAATCATATGTGCTTTGCTTCTCAGCATCTTCTACATATTTCCAAACATACGATTACATGACTTACAACAATCAGTACTGCGTGCTGTCAACAATGTCAATTGACTTTATATATTGCTCCGCCACTGAATTTCACTTTCGACACCTAGATTCGTAGCTAGCATGATATCAGGCGGAACGACTTTGACATGAGAATTCATATGAATATCGCTAGGAAAAAGTTGAAAATCTTTCTTTTATATCTATAAATAAACTAATATGAAGAACCATTTCATTGTTTTAATAGTGCAGATAAGTTTTCTAATGATCAGTACTCGATTAGCTAGCGAATATGAGTAAAATTTACTCCAGAACTTTGAAAATCAGCAGGTCCCATTATGATGTCAATGTCATTTGCACACTGACATCGATGCGAGCGACATTGAAATTGAAACTGTGTGAGCTGATACTGGCATCAGGGGGCTAGTGAAAATCAGTTTTTTGTTGGTATTGATATTGATATTTTGCAGCACCGCTTACAATGGATGACTTTGGAAATGTTATTAGTATGCGCATATTCCAGCGTAGTATTTCGAACACAGTCGGCCAGTGTTGGAAAAGTTAGATAGATCACGAAGTTTACAAAGTTCACCAAGTGGAAAGTTCGCGAGTCATACTGAGTTTTCGCGAACTTTTCCATAACTGATGTTGGTGTTTTTAGCTTTACCAATTAAAACATGAATTAAGCAGAGTTGGGAGGAAATGCTATACTGATATCAATATGCAGCTTTAGTGCGAAATTTTGTTAGCTAGAGAAAGTTCTAAAGAGGATCGGTTGATAGTTGTTTGTAATCATCAAGTTCCATAAACTTTTCTGTTCTCTATGAAGTTCTCGAAACATCTTTAAACACATCCAAAGAAATTTGAAACATAGTTTCATTCGTGTTCCAAACTCGCTCAGAAATAAAACAGAATAGTAGAGCAGTTGCAAATCTGGTGCAAAATAGTGCTCGAATTATGAAACTTCAACTCAGCATTGCGACAAGGTTGCAAATACTCATTTCAGCTAAAACAATGTTTTTTTTTTTTAAATTATGAAATAATTAGATGCTATGATCATATTTTGAATTGGTAAGATAAAAGAAGAGGTTGCAAAGAATGTGTGTGACATATTAAAACTGTTTATTTCACTTCATGAGAGTCACAATCAGCGATTTTTCACACACTCACTCACTCACTCACTCACTCACTCACTCAGCGATCAGCAAATCGCTGATTGTGACTCATGGAAAGCAAAATTTACAGGTTTTATGTTTCAAACGCATACTTTGTAACCTCTTCTTGTAAGTTACAAGTAAAACATGTCATATTACCATCTTTTGGCTTTATTATTCCGAAAAACATTATTTTAGCTGAAATGAGTATTTGCAACCGAGTATTTGCAACCGAGTATTTGCAACCGAGTATTTGCGAGAGGTGCGTTTCTGTTCTAGTTTAAAATTGAAACACCCTAATAAACAAATATTATAAACTAACTGTATCCCGTATGGGTAAACTATTCCACAAATGGTTTGGATGATACCCCGAACACGTCATTAAGCTCTCTTTTATGGTTGTTTTTACTAGGGCAGTCCTTATAAAATACAACAGCTAGTAATCGATTCACTTTTTTGATTGCCCCCATCTCCCCTAAATATTCACCATGCTGCCGTAGGTTGTTGGATGGTGTCAGTTCCAATACATACCTGCAACCTGTAGCGGACAGTCGCCGCAATCGTTTATTATTTCTTTGTTGAAATTCATCGTCGGCCGTTTAGTTCGCGTTTGACAGCGAGTCAGTGTAGTTGCGCGAAGTTGATTACGGAGTCATAAAGTTCTGCGCTCGTGTTCGTTCTGTGTTCTCTGGTTTTGTTGTTTTTTACCTTTAGTTTTTGCAGGTGAGTTGCGTCTCTTTCGCTCCTGCGGCGGAGGTTCCCGGGAAGGGTGGATCTATATGGAAAGATGACTCAGAAAAGTTTCGACTAAGCAAGTTGAAGGAGTGAAGTGGCGTTTTTTGTTTTCTTCTCTGGCTGTGATTTGCAGTTTTGTTTCTTCGGTTGGAAAAGTGTCCAGTGCCGTTGCATCTGGAACGAGTTTTTCCCCGAGGAGGCACTTTTTTCGACGATTTTATTTACAATGCCACTGTGCGGGCTGCCACTGTGCGAAATGAGGGAAATTTCAATCTTTCCAACCATTTGTGCGATGGCTGTGTGAGCCAGGTGTGTTTTTTTGTGTGTGACAACAACGACGGATCAGTGGGAGAAGGAAGTGCGCGGGTGGAACTCCGAGGTGATCGTGGTAATCAATGGTGTTATGCGAATTGAGGATTAACAAACGTAGGTATATATTTATGCAAAACAGTGCAATCGCGGGTGCGTCCGAGAATGACAACATCGACGACGACATTTGAAGTGATTTGAAATGATTTGGGTGTGATGTCAAGCTACGAACTCGCTACATTCTTCCGAGAAGGCGAGTCAATAAATAACAAAATATCGCGCAGTTTGTTCTTGAAATACCACCCATGCTCAAAGTCGGAACAGCCGAGGCAGTGATAATGTTGTAGATCGTTTGATTTCATTCTATATGGAAGTGCCATTGAGAAAAATGTGTTTAGCTCGTGACTAGGCGATTCGAAGCGAATTAAGGGGAAGCAATCAGATCGAAGTGTAAAAAAAAAGCAACTAACGTGCGGGTTGAGGAGCTGCAACTGCATTCATCGGCCATCGACGTTGGGCGTGAGTACGAACCGGGGCGGGCAGCAGCAGCAACAAAAAAGCAGTCAGACAGATCAATGAACATTAATTTGTGTTTTCTCGGATTGCTTTTTGTGTCACTTCATAAGTTTACTCAAGTCATATTCGAACGGGTTCGAGAGGAAAGGTGATGTTATTGCTTGACAAAAAAAGCCAGGAATATTGAACTTATGTAACGTCACTGACGATGATTATGCAATTGCTTAAACATATGCGACCGGTGAGTGTCGTAGCGTCAACTCGGTTTTTTTTTATGTGTTTCGTTTAGCCCTGCTTTGATCTTTTACTCACTGCAGGCACTACAGCTGCGGAATGGATGGGCAATGGTCCTTGAAAAATTTGTCGTGCTTTTCGTTTAAGTGTGATTGTGGGTACCGGTTCACAAAAATATTACAGTAATGCCATGCTAGGGTGGTTGGCTGTTACTAAAATAGTATTCAAGTTTCACAACTATGCGACTTTTTGGCAGTACCGTAGAACGGGGCGAAGTTGATCACTAGACCGTTTGCAAAAATCATGTAATTTTCTGCGATGTATAAAGGTTGACCACGAAGAAATTTAGACACGAAAATCTTGTTGGGGTTTAAAAATGCGTTTTATTTGTCATAGTTCAATGTTAAAGCTATAAATCAGTAGGTGTTATGCTTATTGTAAAACCATTGTTTTAGTCTTCCTTCTTACCATATGGGTCATAGCAGCTCAAGTGGGTAAAGAATTTAAAAAAGTTGTGGTCGAAGTCCCTGATATGAGCCAAACTTGGCCAAAACGTATATTTTGGCATTCTGAACAAACGCCTTTTTTTGGTTTTGCTCTAAAGTGCTTAGATCCTTCTGGGCTACAACCCTGGATTTTCGAGATTTTTAAAAATTTCAACTTTCAGAAGAGAATACTCCACAACCAAATAAGTTATTCGTGATCTTAGAACGTCAATTTTAAGGTTTTTTAATCTAGATTCTTTAAGATGCACCTACATTTTGTTTTTGTTGTAGTAACTACAGTAAATAGGCTGCGATTACCGGCAGGTATCCAAATCGTCAAAAAATGGTCTATTTTCACCATGGGCGGGATTTTTTTTTTAATTTTTAATATTTTGGGCTCAAATTTTCACCACACTTTGGACTGCTCTTCTACTTGATGTGTTTCCAAGGGAAAATGATTAGGAAAAATAGTTTTTGACATATCACCAGATGAGTGAGTTGGAGTTTTAAGCTTTTCTGGCGGAAAATCAATCCTATTTAATTTTTTTTTAATTCCTTAACGCCCTTGGCTATTTTTAACATGTTTTGGGCAGGATTCTCATTATATGAAATCATAACTAGCTCATTTATTTACTTCTGTTCATAATTTAATTGTGGCCCCAAAAGTGGAAAATACGTTCTTACGGGATACAGCCAAAACGTTGTGCTTTAGAAGTACGATGATATCAGACAGATTAGGAGGTATACAGAGTGTTCGGTTTCTTAGTGCAAATTATTTAAGAGGCGATAGAAGATCATATTTGAAGTGAAAAATTGTTCTACGCATATGCTCAAATCTCAAAGATTACTGAGTTATTGTACTTTTTTTGTTTTGGTCTATTCTTGCCATAAATTGACTCTTACTAAAAAAAACTATGCCATTTAGCACAAAAACCTGGCCTCTATTAGACAGCTTGGTAAATTTCCTACTGAATAATGTCATTTCTACTTTAAGGAAGCTGCATTTAAACACATTTTAGGGAAAAACGAGTCTAAAACTAGTGTGTTCCTACGGGTTTTCCCGGTTGTGTTTGTGTACTAGACACGACCACAGTTTGACGTAGAACTACGCAAAATTGATGTATTTCATGCATTTTTGACTATTATACTTTATCTTAAATTTTTCAAGTATTTCAATGTTTCGGTTTTGGTTCAATGTTGGTTCAAGTATTTGTTTTTCTGGAATGTAATAAATTATGAAAATTCAAATGTGGGGTTCTAAACAAGCCGTTATATATTTTGGAGTAGCACCGTAGTATAGTCCTCAAAGGCGCCATGCATGTTGTGGGATAAAACTATTGCCAAAAAATACGTTAATTTTTTCAGCAGCTCCATCACTAGTTTTAAATTAGATCTCTGAAGCAGAGAAGAGAGTGAAGGTTGCATTTTATGATTACGCAACAGGCAGTTGTTTTCCCTATCAGAAGACGGTAGTTTCAATATTGAACAAAATGTTGTTTTATATGTCAGCGAAGTAGGGGAGGAAGGGGTATCAAGATCATACTGGGCTTAAGAACCTCTTTGTTCTCCAATTTGGAGGACAACACTAACATAAAATCATCATGCATCATCATTATGTACTTTACAGCGTGTTCGTATCATTCTAAATATATAATACTGTTACTTTTCTCAAATCAAACGTGTGGTTTCCAATAAGTAGGTGCTTAGTACAACATTAATTGAAAATTAGAGGATTCGGTTATTGTATTTCAAAGTCAGAGAAAAAGCTCGTATACAGATTCTGAACCTGTTCAATGTTTTGATAGTAAGCAGCATAGTTAAAGTACACCGGGGTAAGTTGAAACGGTACATGAATCTCTTAGCGAAAGTGAATATCCACTGTAATTATTTTTGAGAGGCATTGTGTACTATCTCAAACTACTTTATTAGAAATAAACTCAGTGATTATTCACTTCCGCTAATATCTACCATTTCAACTTCCCCACGCGTTTCAACTTGCCCCAGTGTAGGGTAATGGATTTTGGTTGGACCTATTTGTGTCATTTTTACACTGCGTCTAAATGTATGCCGTTTTCTTATGCATATAGCAGATGGATATCAAAAATGTGTGTATGATGAAAAACTCTACCTTTCAAATTTTAAAAATACTTAAACATGAATAATGTTCTCATAATAGGATTTTATTGAACGATTTTATTCAGCAATGAATTTGAATCATGGTTGGACCTAAAAATGCATGATGGTTTGGCCTAAAGTACCATTTGTATGCTTTAGAGCCCGCAGGGCCGAGTGTCATAAACCAATCAACAGTCGCTAAATGAAAGGTATTATGGTCACATAGAGTATGTACATATTTTTTGGAATCGGTCAACCGGTTCCAAAAATATGACCGGAACATGCTGCGGTTTGCATGAGTCGTGAGGCTGATTGCGACCTCAAACGAATAAAACATATCATGTGAAACCTCACATCAAATTAGAATTTGAAAACTCGTTCAATGGTAGTCTTCTGTTGGGCCCATTGCCCCATTATTGGCCACACCTGGCCAAGTTTCGATCACCTGGAGAAGTGGCCAGTTTCTGAATATGGTCAAAAACCATTTAATCACATTAAAATTCAACAACCAGTTCAATGGCAGTTATTAGGAATAGCGAGGATCAAGTTGGCCAATTTTCGGAAACCCCTAGTGAAGTAGCCAGTTTTAGACTTGGATCAAAATCGAGATCAAATTTCATTATGCGATGCCTCAAATCACATGAGAATTCATTTACTTCCTCTATGCTCTGTTTAAGAAAGTTGTGACTAGGAAAGTAAACAGAGAATCATGTTGATGCGTGCATAGGAAATTGTAAACAAACTGAAGGCTTGATAACACCGAAATCTCTCTGCAGACCTCCTAAAGTTTATATAGCCTGACGATCCTTCGCATCCAACTGACTGTAAAACATATCTGGTAGGGGAAAAGTTGGCTTCGGCAATACCTTAACCTATTATCGTCAGAGGGGTAAACAAAGCCCTAGAGCACTCAAATTTGGCCAATAGTTGCTCTGAAACACAATGTATCCACATGCCAAAATTGAGCTCTCAAGGACGATAATAGGTTAAGGTATTGCCGAAGCCAACTTTTCCCCTACCTCTTATATGTAATTACACAGTTCGAAAAGTAGTGTAAATTTCTGTTCAATATGATGCACACAAATGGAGCGTCATATTTCATATAAGTTTACATTATATATCATGTAAAGTTCTATCACAATTCATGCAATGTAGCAAATATTGTATACAAAAGCCCATCTTTGTAAACAATATTGTTTACAAGTTGCTCGGTTGTGTGAAATTAAATTTAAGTTTACGTGAATGAATGTTTACATCACAATTAAAATTAAGAATTTTTATCTGTGTAGATTAACATGCGAAGTCCTTCCCTTTTTTACATATTCTGCC